GACCGCGGCAAGTTTGCGAGTTGCACTAGTTGGCCGGGGAGGCCGGAGCGGGCCATGGAGGAGGGCCGGGGGTCGTCGCCCGCGGCCGAGTCGGCGCTGGAGAAGAACGTGGCGGAGCTGACCGTCATGGACGTGTACGACATCGCGTCGCTCGTGGGCCACGAGTTCGAGCGGGTCATCGACCAGCACGGATGCGAGGCCATCGCGCGCCTCATGCCCAAGGTCGTGAGGGTCCTGGAGATCTTGGAGGTGCTGGTCAGCCGCCACCACGTCGCGCCCGAGATGGACGAGCTGCGTCTGGAGCTGGACCGGTTGCGCCTGGAGAGGATGGACCGCATCGAGAAGGAGCGCAAGCACCAGAAGGTGGGTGGCGAGTGGCCTCAGTCTGCCCACCCGCGCAATGGACGGCCGGCGCTAAGGGCCTGTAGTCTTGGGGCCTCTGTGGGTGCACACGTTTTTTGTTTTTTTTCTGTGAGTGCACACGTTTGTGTACACAGGGAAGACAGGAAAACCACTGGATGGAAGGGGAGGGGAGGCCGGGATTCCCTGGCCACCAGGGCTACCTGGGAAATGCCACTGGTTGCCATTCTCTTTTTTATTTACTAGCTGTGTGACCTTGGGCTAGTAACTTTAGCCCTCTGTGCTTTCTGGCCTCACCTGTCAAATAGTGGTAAGCGTGGCACCCTCCTGAGGGGGGTTTCAGAATTGCATGGGATGCTATTTATACTAAGTGCTTAACAGTTATTTTCCAGACACGAAATAAGTCCCTGTGTTGCCCACGAAGACATGGGTTCCAGGCCCAAGGGTGGATTACGAAATGAAGTAAGCATGGGCTCTCTTGTGCTTGCTTACTGATCTGCGGTGGACAGGTTCATGTGGTTTCATCACATCTTCACTCACTGCAGAGTAGTCAGCAAGCATAAGTCAGCCTGTGCTTGTGACTGGGCTCTCCATTCCTGACAGGGATTGTTAAGTTTGAAAAGAGACTGATCCTGGAGGAAGGGGCTGTGGGCTGGGAGAGGGACAGAGGCCAGCCAGACCTAGAAGCAGAGTCTCAGATATGGGGGTGGGGTGGGGGATGGGACAGTGATGACCACAGATTAGCAAATACGCACAAACAAGCTTGTGTTTATCTTGCTGATTGGGTGATCTGATGCTATGCCGGTCTCTTTATTCCACCCCAGGACTCCCACACCCCCATACCGACTCTGGTGTGACTTCAAGAGTCACTGAGTCTACTGAACCCCCAGGCTCAGATCGGCATCTCTCTGCTCTGCCTTTTATTTATTATTTCTAATTTATTAATCTCTGCCCTGTGGCTTTTAAGCTTATCTTTAATTCTCCCACAGTTGTCTATTATCTTCATTTTCAGACCAGGAGGTGAGGAAGTTGTCCCACTTTGGTGGCAGGGAGCCCTAACCCCAGTGGAGGTAGTTTCCTTGGCAGCCCTTTGACTTGGGAGGAAGACTTGCTTAGAGCCCCCTCAGGCTGCATCTCTGGCCTCAGGCATCAGAGACTCCCCACTGCCAGCGGGGAGTCCAGACAGGGTGTCTAGGAAAAAGGAAGTTGGGGACATGTGGTTTCCGGCAGCAGCCTCAGCCCAGAGAAACTTCTGGTAGATCCTCTGACTGAGAATAAGAGGAAAGCCTCTCTTCCCTGCAGGAACCCAGGTGCCTGAGCTGGCTCTGACTTGCTGCGTGGCCCCAGGAAATAGAGTTGGCCTCTCTGAACCTCCCTGGCAGACCCTCTCCTATTGTGTGCTTTGATCCATCAGCTGTTTTCCAAGGGAACATGCCAAGGCTGTGCCTGCACCCTTCCCTGAAGGTTGTTCTGAGGGTGGCTGCAGTGCTGTGTCAGGGCTTGTCTTCCCTGAGCCTTGTTCCGTGGGATCAGGAAGGAAGCTGAGGCTCCCAAGTATGTAAGAAGCCCTTTCCCAGGGCTCCCCAGCGGCCTAAAAACATCCCAGCTCTGTTGTGATCATGTGTGGAATCCTTAGAGCAGGGAATTGGGAGATGATAAAGGATTCTCGGGCTGTGTGATCTGGGGTGAATCACCCAGCCTCTCTGTGGCTCCGTTCCTTCAGCTGTCGAATGAGGATGAGAATAAAATAACACTCGGAATTAAGAGACAGAAAATGACCAGGACACCGTGGCGTGGATCAAGTACGAGTGACCTGGAAGCCCTCGAGAGCTGGGAGGCCTCTGGCTGGCCTTGTGTTCTGGGCTCTCCCTCTGACTGGGGGCAGTCATAGCCTCTTTTCTACTGCATTCTACTGATGCCAACTTATTGGCGTTTTCCTTCTCTGGCAAGTTTCTGCCTTACATAGGCTATGGCTCTTGCAAGTTTTACTGTTTTATTTTGAGGCCTGGAGGAGGTGTCTCTGGGGAGTGTCACTATGGTGCTCTTAGTGAAGGACCCCCCCCCTGCCTATCCCTTGACTGCTGTTCCTGGCTCAGCTCTAAGTGAGGGTCAGGGAAGGAAGACCCATTGCCAAGGAGTCGATTCCAATTTAGACAGAGGAGACGGCTCCTTAGTGTGAATGAGACAGTAAGGGATCTCACAGTAAGCAGACAGCCCCATCTGTCTCCTGTGGACCA